AACAGATTTTTTGTTACTTTGTTGATTTGTAAAGCATTGGCAAGGTCGTGTACTCCTTGATCACCGATTTCATTACATCCGAGGTCGAGTGTGGTCAGCGTCTATGTGCAAGGTGGTTGAATAATGAAGTGAAGTGAAGAGGAAGAAGAACAAGTATTATTCTTACCTTGTTGATTTGTAGAGCATTGGCAAGGTCTTGTGCTCCTTCAGCACCAATCTGATTGCTTCGGAGGCTGAGTGTAATTAGTGTCTGTTTGACAAGTGTGAGAAAGATGAAACAAAGTGAAGAGGAAGAAGGTCAAGCATTGTTGTTACTTTGTTGATTTGTAGAGCATTGGCAAAATCTTCTGCTCCTTGATCACCAATTTCATTGTGTTTGAGATTGAGTGTGGTTAGTGTCTATCGTGAATGGTTAAGTGTAATGAATACGAAGAAAAAAAAGAAAAAGCATTGTTATTACTTTGTTCATTTGTAGAGCATTCGCTAGGTCTTGTGCTCCTTTATCACCAATTTGATTGCTTCGCAGGCCGAGTGTAATTAGTGTCTGTGTGAAAAGTGTGAGAATGATGAAACAAAGTGAAGAGAAAGAAGAATAAATATTGCTGTTACTTTGTTGATTTGTAGAGTATTGGCAAGGTATTGTGCTCCTTTGTCACCAATTTGATTGTGTTCGAGATTGAGTGTGGTTAGTGTCTGTTGTGAAAGGTATGTGAAGGGTTAAGTGTAATGAAGAGGAAGAAGAACAAGCATTGTTGTTACTTTGTTGATTTGTAGAGCATTAGCAAGAGCTTGTGCTCCTTTAGCACCGATGCTAGTACCATAAAGGTTGAGTGTGGTTAGTGTCTGCGTCAAAGGTGTGTGAACGATTAAGTGAAATGAAGAGAAAGAAGAACAAGTATTGTTGTTACTTTGTTGTTTTGTAGAGCATTGGCAAGATCTTGTACTTGTTTAGCACCAAGTCTAGACGAAGAGAACTTGAGTTCGGTGAGTGCCTAGATGAATAAGTTCATGAAAAGGTACGATATAAGTGAAAAGTGAATGGGAAGTGTTGTGTGTTGCGTTGTAATGCATCACGAAGAGACTGTGCTTCAATATATCGGATTCGATTTCTCGAGTAGTTTAGTATGGTGAATTTTTATATGGAAAATGGGAGGCACGGGCACGGTACAAATGAAGAGATACAATAGGTGGTCGGTATTACATGTAGTTAGAACAGTGAAATTTATGTTGTTCAGACGGGTGTGTTGGGCGTATGAATAGAAGTATGAGCT